AAAAGTTCCTGTAGACAGTACAGTGTACGGCACTATGGGGTCCAGCGGATAATGCTCCGAAAATGTTCGAATAATGCTAATCATTACTTGGAAAACCTTACACACACCATCTTCAATCCAAGTGGTCTCTTCGCTGCAAATTACAATAATTATCTCAATCAAATTTTCGAAAATTTGATCCTGATGATGGCTCCTGGCCGAAAATTTGATTGAGATACCTGTAATATTATTAAGAAAGGTTTGCTCCCCACACCGGAGCTCGCGCTATTCCGCCGACTTTACTTGACACTTGACTGACTCACGACTGCCATCCAGAGCACACGAGAAGTCCACCGAACCTTCGACTCGGCAAACCTGCAAGAAAGCACCACTCCCTGCTCAATACACAGTGTTTCGGGGAATTCACCCCTCATCAGTTGAGCTTGAGTAGGCTGAGGAAGATTGTGCCTGAAGAGCACCACTTATATAGTGCTCTCCAGGCACAAACATCACCAGGGATACAAACTTACAGAGACGCTCCGCTTCCAGCGCGATAAACACCTCGTGAACACCAGATAGCAGCGTGAGTCAGTGTCGCTCCTGGACGGTGAGACAGACGTCGAGGACCCTCGGTCATTCGCAACGCTGTCACCTCCAAACCAACTAGTCGCAAGCCCGCGCTGGGCACAACAGTACGAAGTAGTGGTTGCGACTTCGGCGATGATTTGTAATCTTCCTCAGCCTACTCAAGCTCAACTGATGAGGGGTGAATTCCCCGAAACACTGTGTATTGAGCAGGGAGTGGTGCTTTCTTGCAGGTTTGCCGAGTCGAAGGTTCGGTGGACTTCTCGTGTGCTCTGGATGGCAGTCGTGAGTCAGTCAAGTGTCAAGTAAAGTCGGCGGAATAGCGCGAGCTCCGGTGTGGGGAGCAAACCTTTCTTACAAATCATCGCCGAAGTCGCAACCACTACTTCGTACTGTTGTGCCCAGCGCGGGCTTGCGACTAGTTGGTTTGGAGGTGACAGCGTTGCGAATGACCGAGGGTCCTCGACGTCTGTCTCACCGTCCAGGAGCGACACTGACTCACGCTGCTATCTGGTGTTCACGAGGTGTTTATCGCGCTGGAAGCGGAGCGTCTCTGTAAGTTTGTATCCCTGGTGATGTTTGTGCCTGGAGAGCACTATATAAGTGGTGCTCTTCAGGCACAATCTTCCTCAGCCTACTCAAGCTCAACTGATGAGGGGTGAATTCCCCGAAACACTGTGTATTGAGCAGGGAGTGGTGCTTTCTTGCAGGTTTGCCGAGTCGAAGGTTCGGTGGACTTCTCGTGTGCTCTGGATGGCAGTCGTGAGTCAGTCAAGTGTCAAGTAAAGTCGGCGGAATAGCGCGAGCTCCAGTGTGGGGAGCAAACCTTTCTTACAAATCATCGCCGAAGTCGCAATTACTACTTCGTACTGTAATATTATTATTGAAAATATTGTAATATGCAGGAAAGAGACCACTTGGATTGAAGATGGTGTGTGTAAGGTTTTCCAGGTTGTAAAGTGGCTGCAGTGGAGCTTGAGCACATTAAGAAATGCTAATCATGATGCTCCAAAAACTACCTCATAATGCTGATTATAATGCTTCAACAAGGGCTATACCGGTAATGCTCTTGGTTTGGGTCAGAGAGGAGGAAAGGCTGCACATATTCAATCTGCTGCTGAATCCTGCACAATATTTCCCACAAGCTCCACCACCTTGTGGCACTATGACATAATCGATTCGCCAGTGGTTGCTCTCCATTGCAGCTTTGACACAGGGCTATGGCTGAATAGTATACATGTGGATCACATACAGTACTATCCCGGTATTATCCATGGAGTGACAAGTGTAAACTATGTTAGGGATCATTGTGATGAGGTTTATCATGGCAACTGGTAGTCCTGCCTGCAGATACGCTGTCACTGCATTGGTTCTGTGAATAATCTTTTCATATAAAACAGCAGATATTAGGCTGGTCTTGGATCCAGATCACTTTTTTTTTTTTACTAAGGCCACAGCTTCCAATCATGACATGCAAAGCAGCGGTGCAGCATCGCAGGCATGAATCGTGGACGTGGTGACGGGGTCTGATGTGCTCCACCGACCTAGGGTCTCGGCTTCACTGCACAGCAAACGCGTCGAAAGAAAACGGGGGCTAATAATTATCGGGAGTTGGGGGGGGAGAAGAAGAGAAGAAAGAAAGAGAGAGAGAGAGAGAGAGAGAGAGAGAGAGAGAGAGAGAGAGAGAGAGAGAGAGAGAGAGAGAGAGAGAGAGAGAGAGAGAGAGAGAGAGAGAGAGAGAGAGAGAGAGAGAGAGAGAGAGAGAGAGAGAGAGAGAGAGAGAGAGAGAGAGAGAGAGAGAGAGAGAGAGAGAGAGAGAGAGAGAGAGAGAGAGAGAGAGAGAGAGAGAGAGAGAGAGAGAGAGAGAGAGAGAGAGAGAGAGAGAGAGAGAGAGAGAGAGAGAGAGAGAGAGAGAGAGAGAGAGAGAGAGAGAGAGAGAGAGAGAGAGAGAGAGAGAGAGAGAGAGAGAGAGAGAGAGAGAGAGAGAGAGAGAGAGAGAGAGAGAGAGAGAGAGAGAGAGAGAGAGAGAGAGAGAGAGAGAGAGAGAGAGAGAGAGAGAGAGAGAGAGAGAGAGAGAGAGAGAGAGAGAGAGAGAGAGAGAGAGAGAGAGAGAGAGAGAGCTGGGAGATAGAAGAGCACAGTGCTCTTGGTGATGGGGACTGCGAAGGATAGCAGGTTCTGGGACATGTGCATGAGAATCAGAATATTGGTGATGATGGCAGCAGAGTTATAAGGTAAGCAGCTGAACACTAATAAGAACAGGGAAAGCGTTGGCGAGCAGATTCAAAGTGCATCAGTAGCAGAGAGCCAGTCCTGAGCAAGAAGGTGACGGTACACCTTTTTCTTGAAGCTTTGCATGTGGGGCTGGGCGGGTGGGTGGTGGAACAGGTCTGGTGGCAGGGCATTCCATGTTGCAACGGTGCAAGCAGGGAATCCTTGGGGACAACTATTCCGGGTGTTGGCAGGCAGGCCACTGGTATGGATGGGAATCCTGCAGCTGGAGAGACTGACGGGTAGGTCTTGTCTCGGGGGGCACCTACAGTGGCTGGTTTAGGCAGCATCTGCTTCAGAGGGCTGGATGCATCTAGATAGCAGAGCTTGTAGGTATAGGCAAGTGGGTGCACTTCCATTTGCGGTGAGCGTGAAAAAAATGGGGCCAGAGTATTTTGATGCTCTACTTCCTTTACTTTCATAGTCTTCTCCCAGTGGTGTTGCATACACAACTGGGTGGAAACAATGATAAGAATACTCTTCTTTGTGGATAGCATTTGACTCAGTCACTGCTGTCTTGGGAGCACAGCTAACAGTTCATATCTAACGTGTTTCATCAGGAAACTCAGATACGCGCTGGTGCAGAGTGCTCATAACAACTTGGTGCTGAATCCACGAGTAATTCTACTTCTTTTCGAGCTAGTTCAGCTGGACTCCGCTAGGCAGTTCGTCGGAACAACAATTACATGCATCTCTTTCTGCTTGTAGCTGCTCTTTCAGCCTGGTCCAAATTAATTTTTATCAAAGGATCAGCGTCTACTTCAGTATCGCTACTAGCCAAGTGACGCTATCTTCAGAGCCTGAGGCACAACGAGAAACTTCTCTTCCCCTTTTCGATATTCACTTCGCTACTGGCCCCATGACTCTATGTTTTCGACAAAACAGTTTCCTCCTTGCAAATCCTTGTTGCGACATTTTGCAACAACTTTAGTTGGGCGCACGTATATGTAGATAGTCACTGACCTACCTACCTACCTACCTACATACATACATACATACATACATACATACATACATACATACATACATACATACATACATACATACATACATACATACATACATACATACATACATAATGACCTACATACAATGTCATGTACATGTAGTCATTGCTACATTGCTACATCAAGTGCTAAAAAGTGTTACGTGTCTACACAAAGCAATACACGATCCAGTTGGTTTGGTTTTGGTTTGGTTTTTAATTTTCAGTTCGTTGCCTCAACAGTACAAAGTACAAATATCAAGAGGGACGAACGAAAAGAGAAAGTAAAACAGAGCAGAAAGGAAGAATTAGATGCAACTGAAAGGAAAGAAATCCAGTAACCTGGTAACACGAAGAGGGTTGCACGCACCTCATGAGTGTAGCCGATTGTTGTTTGGGATTTCCTGATAATTATTATCCAATATGGAAGTCCAAATGCCGCTCAAATCTCACAAAATGCTCGTTTTTGTCCTTTCTAATGCTAAACAATGCCCTGATGCTCGGATAGTCCCATAATGCCGAATAAAATGCAGGCATCATCCGCTGGACCATATACGGTTGTAGTACCCCGTGGCGCAGCAAGGAGCCCCCCCCCCCCCCCCGCCTTCATCTGTTTAGTGTAGGGCTCCGTCCGTCCTATCTGGTGTGACTAACTGTGAGGTGCCAAAAGAAGACAAAAGGCTGCATAGGACAGAACGCAAAAGTTGAGACTTGAGTGTCATGAGTCCACTCTTTGCGGTCCACTTTTACAAATACACACGCACGGAAGTTTCTTCTGTCAGCCCCGTAGCTCGGCAAAGCCCAAAGCCTTTATTTATGGAATAATAGTGATGATTGTTTCCTCCTCTACAATACCGCCCATTTTAAAACACTCTACATTTCACGAGGCCATGATCTCAAGAATTCTCAGCGCGTTAGCTGTTAATTTCTGTTCCAGTATTGTCCTGCACTAGAAAAGTTTGCGAAATGTGTTGGTGGTGTTGAGAAAAACACCAACCTTGGCTTGTGTCAGGCCACCAACGCATCTAGCACCTGAGATAGCATGGCGACAGAGGCAGCACCTAGCGGCGGGGGAGAGGTGGTAAGTCTCACAAGCAGTCCAACAAGGGGGCGCGAAACAGTAGTACTAGTAGCAGTGACTAATAATAATAGTATATTCCACCCTCTAGTACTAATAAAATAGTAGGCAGTTCGTGTTTTGCTACATTCTACGTCGTCGAGCTTACTGCAACGCAAGTTCTCGTGTTGTTGACAGAATGACGTCTACGGCAACCGTCTCAGGTGGGCTGGCACCCAAGGAAATCGGATTGGTCTGCGAGTCAGAATACAGACAGTATCCATGGTATCATCAGTACGCTGGCGACGAGAAAACTTGGGTGGTGGTCAGCGTTCAAGCGCCTCGGTACCAGGAGGATGAAGACAGCAAAGTCAGTGAGACGGGTCGGGCACCACTGGAGTTGGTCGCCGTGATTGATAGAAGTAACAGCATGGGGAGGCGCGGTAAACTTGCCATGATGCAGGAAACTATGCTCTTCGTCATCCGTCAATGTGAGTGTACTAGGCACCGGCGGATTATGCCGGCATAATTATTGACATAATTTGGTGCTTGAAAATTTGGAGCATAATTTGGCATCCTTTCACAGGTAGGAGCATAACTACATGGTTGTACCACAGTTCTAGTATGTACGCTACACAATTGTGTACAATGAACGCACCTGATCAGTGCTGGTGGTCTACATGGTAAAGGGTTTGGAGGTCATGCAGATAGTGTTTTCAATGAAAAGCAGGGTAGGAAGCATTATTGTATGCTCGAACTCGTCTTTTTCAAAGTAATTAGTTCTTTCTCACACTGATACAGTATCTGTAGCAGAAGATGCGAGTGAATCAGCCTGGCTTTATCAGGTATCCTGGGGCGGATGAGATCATAGTAGGGACGGGTAGTCCGCAAAACTCCGCGTGCGTGACTGTACATATACATATACATGTACATATACATATACATATACATGTACGTACATGCATGTTACGAAGTCATGAGCTCTGGATTTTAGCAGCCATGACTGTGCAGCCTATGGATATTGCTCTAATATAAAAACATAGAAAGTTGAGGCATAGTTGATGCTCGGTCATGACTGAAGGAGAGGTGGAGCTACTGGAGAGATGAGGTGGTTATTCGCAGGGTGAGGGTGACATCGGCTGGACAAGTATGACGATTGGGAAGACAGCTGAACATAATTTTCAAAGGTAACTCAAACTTATTTCCCAATGAAAAAGTCTTTTTACTTGAAGTACAAAAGAAGTCAACAAATGAATAGAAGAGTATTGACTGTTTTCTCTTTTCCATGTTGATCTCTAGTATGCATGGCCACCTTGGTATGGACTATGGAGATACTCGTGTAACATTGTGTTGGACTTAAGTTATGGCCACTTGCAAGTACGAAAACGCACAATCAAGTTTCCGAACTTTGAGGCTCCATAAGTACAACAAAGTGAATATGTATCCCCGCATGCCAAAGCATAATATGAGGATTTTGCGAGCATAATGCGAGAATCCAAGAAAGCATAATTCCATGATTTCGCGAGCATAATCCGCCGGAGCCGAGAGTGTACATGTATTCTGAAATGCATTGACTGAGTACACGGGTCAATATATGAAGTAAAAGCCCGTCTGCGGAGTAGGACCGAGGTGAAGCTGAGGTCTTTTGCGAGGTTTTACTTCATACTGACCTAGTACAAAGTCAAAGTTAGATTTATCACGACTAGGCAAAGCACGTGTTCATTCCCTAAAAAGGAGTAGCCCTTTCCCAAAGATGCTCGCCACTTTTTTTGCAACTTTTCGTTGTTTAGGAAGAAATCGCAACTTTCGCAACTTTCTTCATTTTCGCGAACTATTTCGCAACTTTTCCGCAACCTTGGCCCCATGGCATGGGGTCAAAATGTCAAGTCACCGACTACATACCACCCGACTTCTCATTTATATTGGCAGTCTTCTGACGACCAGGAGATGTTGAATTAATAATAATAATAATAATAATAATAACATGTCAGACAAATGCATACTCGGTCATATCTCGCCTGCCTTCAGACTCATTTCAGAGACACGGTAGATCAACGGTAGTTACGATAATATGCATTCCCTTTTCCGCGCATTGGAATGATGTAGGATACAGGCAACAGGCCACTGGCGCTGTGTAAAGTGGTGGTTCACAGCAGGAAGGGGTGTACGAGTTTGCTGTCGCTGTGCTTCCGCTGCTTCTGCTCCTTTTTTGGTGGTTTTGCACAAGAACTCTCCAATTTTTAGTTGCGATATTAGCAACTTTTGAGCTTTATCTGAAAATATGGATGCGATTTCAGCAACTAGCATTTGTTTTGCCACGGTTGCGAAAAGCATAAGTTGCGAAAAAGTATGGCATCTTTGGGAAAGGGCTAAAAAGGAGTCGAATGTACATGTAAGCTGTCAATAGCCCTACTAGTAAGCCCGCTAAGGAGTGAAATATGCAGGAATATTTGACTGCTTAGGAATGACAAACATCTATGGTAGTCAATACTAAGGGAGTGATAATAGTAGATATTTTTTATAATGATTTATGTCAACATACTATTATTACATTATACTACTTGTACAATTGTAGTAGATCTACTTTGTTTGTGACACGTCCCACACCAAGTGCAGCCATGGCAAGTGAAATCCGACCCCCGCCTCCAGGCGTGCACTTGCAATACTGTTAGCCAATCGACCTCTAAACACTAAAACATGTTAAGTATTCCCACTGTCAGATTATGTCCAGACTTCAAGTGCTACAAATGTACATGTACATGTACAAGTAGTGTAGTACTACAGTCGTTGCCAATATGGAACTCCCTTCAATTTAGACTATGTCTTTGGGAAATCCTCAAATATATATGTAATAATAATGGCGACAGGAATGGACTCAGATGGAGAGCCAAGGTTTAATTTATACAGAAGAGAAAGTATAGCGTAACTTGTAGTTCCTTGGTCTTTCCCTTTTGTATAAATAATGGTGACAGTCAATTTTTTCTTCAGACTTTTCTCGTTTGTGTCTTCAAAGTTCCCTCAAACTAGTCAAAATAATAATAATAATTTGACACTCGGATGTTGAGCCATAAATAAATGTAGAAAGGAAAAGGACATATGGATACGAGTTAAGAGTAAATCTCCATCACTGTAACTGGATACTATATACAGTCAGAAAGTGCAATAATTTAGGCACAAAACTGACTACTGAGACATTAGACGTCCTGACACCTAGCTTCAACACATCTCCGTAGCGCTAACCGACAGCCTTCCAACTTGGAAGGTTCAAGGTTATGGAAAGACCAAAGAGGGGAAGGCAAGCGCGACTGTGTGGGCCAGATATACCGGTAGTATATTTGCGGACACTGCAGTATCTTGCAACGATAGTCATGGACCACAAAACGTGAACAGAGGATTAGTGAGGAATTTCGAAGCGTGAAGGACAGTGGGATGTCAAATTTCGGGACTGGGGACGGAAGTTCCCAGTAGCCCTTCCCCAAAGATGCTCGCCACTTTTATCGCAACTTTTCGTTATTTAGGAAGAAATCGCAACTTTCGCAACTTTCATCATTTTCACCAACTATTTCGCAACTTTTCTGGAACCTTGGCCCTATGGCATGGGGTCAAAAGGTCAAAGTCACGGACTACATGTCGGACAAATGCATACTCGCTCATTTCTCGCCTGCCTTCAGACTCATTTCACAGAAACATGCAGTAGGTCAACGGTAGTTACGATAATGTGCATTCCCTTTTCCGCACATTGGAATGATGTAGGATATATGCAACAGGCTACTGGCACTGTGTAAAGTGGTGGTTCACAGCAGGAAGGGGTGTGCGAGTTTGCTGTCGCTGCATTTCTACTAATGCGCATTTCTACTCCTTTTTTTGGTGGTTTTTGCACAAGAACTCTCCAGTTTTAAGTTGCGATATTAGCAACTTTCGAGCTTTTTCTGAAAATATGGATGCGATTTCAGCAACTAGCACTTGTTGCATAAGTTGCGAAAAATGATGGCATCTTTGGGAAAAGGGCTAGTTCCCAGCCATGGGCTTCGCGTGCACCAAGTACACGTACATGTAGCTAAGCGCACAGAACACACCATGCATGAATGTCTGTACAGAGTGGGCCATGGCGTGGGCTCACGGATTCACTGAAAATTGAGGCAAAAAATAAAATGGACTCAGTATAAAGTCCATGCACTATATGATGTCCAGCGCCCTATATAGAGTCCATTGGTCCAAAATCCACTACAGCGTCCAGGAGTCCACTCATTTTTGATCAGCTCCATCCAGCCGCGCAATCCCCTATAACATGTATAAGGAGTACACTTTTTCTACAAGTCCCCTATTCACGGTCCAGGATCTAGGAGTCCAGTTTATCCAGTCACACCATCCTGTGTGTAGTAAAAAAAGAACAAACACCTTTTCAGTTTTGCTTGCCTAGCTCGTTGCAGCGCATTCCTTTCTTCACTGCAGCCATGGCTGCCAGTACTAGTTCTGCTGTGCAGTTGCTGACAGTAATCTCTCTCGAGGTAACCAAGGAGGAAAAGGAGACGTTCAAAATCAAATCTGGAAAGCGTCTTGTGGTTCTCTGAAGCTCGAAGACGTTTTTTCATCAGTGCGCGAGATGAAAGCAGAAATTGGAGAACGAGAAAATTCAGCACAGTTCAAATCTGACGAGTCAGGTACACTGACACTCTCTTTCGTTGGACGCCACAAGGATCTCCTGTTTGACTGGCCATGGCTGCCAGTTCTGCTGTGCAGTTGCTGACAGTAAGACGTTTGAACGGTTTCATCAGGGCGCGGGATGAAAGCAGAAAGCGGAGAACGAGAAAAGTTCAGCACAGTTCCAATCTGACGAGTCAGATCCACTGACACTCTCTTTCGTTCGACGCCACAAGGATACCCTGTTTGACTGGACAAGAGCTGCCTGTACCACCGTGTCAAAAAGGCTGTCCAATTACTAGTACATGCCGGCAGGATAATGACTGAGGTAAGGAAGCTTTTACTCGTTTCCATTGGTCTGCTGTTCTGTCGTTATGGACTCTATATAGGGGTTGAACATCATATAGGGGCTGGACGCTCCACTGAGTCCAACATATATAAATTCAAGGGCTCGCGTGAGACTCGGCCAAAGGCCCAGTTTTCCGCATCCGCAGGAACGCCACCACTAGGGTCCAGCGGATAATGCCGGCATTATATTCGGCATTATGAGGCTATCCCAGCTAGCCCTTTCCCAAAGGTGCTCTTTTAACCCTTTGACGGACCCCACTGAAAGTGCGACAATTTACGCACCTTCAAATATCATGCACTTTCACTCGTATCTCTATGAAACATTCACCGATTTTTACAAACTAACCACCGTTGGAAAGGCATTTCCAAGACGAAGAGACTGGCACCACACTCAATCCAGCTACCTGCACAGCCTCTGCTCTGCGTGGCCTATAATGCCGCCCAAAACAGCAGCCGTGCGCGAACAGCTTCAGCAAAGTTCAAACAGCCGCCATTCCATTCT